ACCGCCACCAGCCACCATCAGTCAGCTGATTCCCGATCGTCCGCCGGTACCTTATTCCCCTCTCGACTCCTTGCACTACGCGCACTTTGGACTTAGCTTAAAGCACACCCCGAATCTCACTCACCGAAACGACAAGGACGGGTCCACCCCACCATGGTTATTGGCGGGTTATTTAAATGTTCGGGTGTTTAAAACCGGTACAGATTCCAACAGAACAGATCTGTTGTCTTCATTTTTTTTCACACTGAAAAAATAAACATTGTAATTTTATGCGTACAAAAATTGACTATGAGAAATTAATTATTTTGGTATCATTTTATTTTGATTTATTTAGATAACGTTATTTATACTTACTTTTAATAAGTTTAATAATATTTTCCTAAGTGATGAGATGCTGCCCCGGAATTCAAAACAACAATCCTTCATTTTTTGTAATATACCTAAAATAATATTTATATTAAATACGTTGCCATTATAATCAAAATAGTAACTTACAATTTAGAGTTGGTAGTCTTTTCTCAATAAAATGAAAATCATGGATTATACCTTTTCCAACTTTTCAGGCCTTATAGATTCTACAACTGTACTTCTTTTTGTATATCCTTTTTGTGAAAATGAAGTACTAACTCTATTTTCTACTTCACCAACTTCTTCTAGAAATCCTAGCAGCTAAAATTTTCTCTCTGTATTTTTGTAATGGTATTTGAATACCGTGTTCAGCCTCGTTTTTCATAAAATTTATGAGGCGTGAAATTATTTCTTTCGTTTGACTTTGAAGAATTTGGCCCTTTTTGCCTAATAATTTTTTCTGTTCCATTTTGAACGAGCTAAAAATATAGATATTTGCAGGAAATTTGTTTTAAATAATATTAAACTTATTTTTCTATTCATCAAGAGCAAACCGAACCTCTAGCCAAGGAAAATTTTTGAAATAGTAATACAAATTAAAGTTACTTAAGAGCTATTGCTTCGGTAATAAGATATAATTCGTCGGTTTTATATATTTTATCACCAAGTTCTTAATATTTAAGGTATTTACGTAATATTTTTTTTTGTTGCTATATAGTAACTTAAACTACAGTTCTGTAGTATGAAATCAACAAAAAAGTATTACCACAACGCAGAAAAAAAAAATAAAAATTTTTCAGAGTATGATCACTGTTTTAAGGATTCTGCTTTTATTTTTTATTCGATTAGAATTTTCTTTTAAGAATTCTCTAGAGAAATCTTTCCTTTACAATTTGTATTGAAAAAATATTTTTTTTGTTTTATCTGAGTGTTTAATTTTAGTTTGTTTTTTCATCAAGAAATAATAATATGTCCACCGAATCCTTAAAACAGTGATCATACTCAGACTTTTTTTCTGCGTTGTGGTAATACTTTTTTGTTGATTTCATACTACAGAACTGTAGTTTAAGTTACTATATAGAAACAAAAAAAATATCACGTACAACACCTTAAATACTAAGAACTTGGTGATAAAATATATAAAACCTACGAATTTTATCTCTTTAGCTCTTAAGATAAGAAAAATATGGTATATAAAATATCTGGTTTTAAAAGGTATTTAAAATATTTCACGATGTTTGGTTTCTTCTGAGATTAATATTTATAGTTTTGTAAATGTACTTACCAAAATATACACAAAATTAATTAGGAATTCAAAAAATATAACAAATTAAAGTTTATATACACACAAATCGAAGCACAAAAACTCAGGAAACCCAAAAATCGAAGCACAAAACTCAAGAAACTCAAAATAGCTAAATAAATGCAACAAGTACAAATAAGTAACACTACACTACAGAATTCAACTTGTATTTGCGGTGATGAGCGGCAGGCGGCTTCGATCACGTTTAAATCTGTCTGACCACGCCTACAAACTCAAATTGGTTTCTGCACATTATGACGAAGTGTGCTCTTCACAAAAAAATCGAGCTTCCCAACTATTTATAAAGGGTACCATTTAAACTATTTGTTACCTAATTATTGGAATTTGGTAAAATCCTACAATCCCTAAATATCAGCCAAAATATTAAAGGATGTAATTTTTAGACCTATATAAAATAGGTCATAAATTCATAAAGAATTGAAATTAAATAAAAACATGTTTAATTTTTTTTAAGTAATTAACAAATAACTAGTATTTTTTTTTAGATTTAAAACAGTGTTTTAATAATTTTTATGTAGCTTACATGCAACAAATTTGATTTTTTTTTAATGAAATGAAGTACGAAAAAACATTTAAGCGGCAAAAATGTGACATTTTTCAATTACGGACTCAAAAAAAAAAAATGGTAAAAAATAGGTAGCAAGTTTCTTTTTTAATATCAATTATTTTTTTTAAGCAATATATTAAAGCACATTGTGTTTATACTGTGTGTTTTATGCAAATGAAAAAGGTTGATCTTACACGTTAACAAAAAAAATTATTGATACAAATGTTCTGCATCACTTGAAAATCCATAACTAAACATAAAATTTGGGAAATTAAAATTTTTTTAGTGTACATTGGTTTTTGATTATTAATCAAAATTACTTAAAAATAAATGCAATGATTTAAACTTCTATTTTTTAATTCCTATTAACATTTTAATTGGTATTTTGCTCTATATTGAAATTTAAAAGTTATTTTACTATTCATTTACTTTACTGAATCATAATTTTTATTTTCCCTTGTACTTCATAATATTTAAAACTATTATATGGATCTCCAAGAGACTCAGAACTTTTTCAATTTTTTTTGTGAAATGTAAAGTACATTTTTCCATTTATATAAAAAGAATGTATTAAATAAAGAACAATTTTTACGGAATATTTAGGTACCTATTAATAATATATTATTGATATTAACAAACTTACTTTTCTCCAATGCTTCCAGTCTTTTTTAGCACCTCCCGGTATGCTATTTAGGTTATTGAATGCTTCTTCCCACAAATTTTGTGCTTTTTTAAAGCTAAAATTATTTGTAAATTTGCCAGTTTGCAAATTTTCATTTTTTTTATGAATTCTATTAAAAACTCTTTTTGCGTCACTGTAATGGACGTACGTTTACATTTTGTCAAACACTTCTTTAGTTTAGTATTAGAAAATATTGACGAAAATTTCTCTTCTTTTTATTACTGCGAAATAATACTAATAGAACAAAATATAGTTTAAATGGTCATTGAAACCAAGAAAAAGAAGATATTAGTTTTGGCAACACCGTTCTATTTATTTCCCGTTTGATCAAGTTCACCGAGGTTCGAGAATACGGTCAAACCATGTCGAGAGAAACGCTGTAGGATGTGATCGTTCATCACTCCTATAGGAACACTCACATCCACAGAACACTTACTCTTAGAAAACGGTGAGAGAATTTCAGCGCCACCTGGTGGACGTGGTTGATTATTTTTCAATTAAGTCCTTACCGGGTAAGAGGCTATATGAAAAAGAAGAAGAGGAGAAAAGCGCGGGGCTATTCAAATTTGACAGTAAAAATTACTCGCATTAAAAACTGTTATCCAAATTAAGATTTGTTTACACAAACTACATTTTTGCGTTATTATGGCGATATTCGCTGTAATAAAGCAAAAATTGAGTTGTATGAACCAATCTTAACTTGACTAACAGTTTTTAGATAAAAAGACAAGCATAATCAAAAAATTTATTTATTATAAATATACATACACTATTGGACAAAAGTGAAGCAACTTTTATGATATAATCAAATATTTAATTATTTAAAATAACACGAACAACCGTGAGAATCAAAATTTATGTAGTTTAAGTGGTCATAATAGGCTGCTATGATAGGTGAAATGGGATTGTTTGCAAATGTCAAATAAGTTAGTATGTAATAATTTATTTCAACAATCGCGACAAAAGTATAACAACTTTTATGAAAAAATTTTGTATTTCATTTAACAACTGAAAAATCACAAATATGGTTGAAGGGTTAAAACAAAATAAGAACAAATTCTTAATAATTAATAGGATATCCATTATTAGATATAACTTTTTGGCAACGGCGCGGCATTGATGAAATTAAGTTTTGGATAGTAATATCCGACATATTAATCCAAACTTCATTAATTTTATCAATTAAGGACTGTTTATTTGGGAATCTTGTAGTCCGAATACGACGTTCAACCTCTTCCCAAAGGTTCTCAATGGGGTTGAGGTCTGGTGATTGGGCCGGCCACCTAAGAACCTGGACATTGTTCTCCTGAAACCATTCCTGAACAAGGCGAGACGAATGTTTCGGATCGTTGTCCTGTTGGAATATAAATTGCAAAGGCATCTCCCGCTGAGCATAGGGAAACATAACGTTTTCTGTAGACGAAGCGATCCATAATTCCGTCTATAAAATGTCTATCAAGCGACTTTAATTTGCGCTTTTACGTTTTAACAAACGGTTTCAAAAAAGCTGTCCAATAAGTCAATAATAACTCAAAAATAAATAATAAATTGGGACCAAAGGGACATTGACACATAATAAACAGTACTCAGGTAGGCATTATAAATAACAAACAAGTCTCAATCTTTTTGATAAATAATGAAACATTCTTTAATGTCCCCTAGTTTGTTTCAATAGTACGGTTTTAATGCATCATTCTATAACTAATTTACCTATTTGCAATAAAAATGATAATTATTTCAAATACTTATATCCGGATAAGTATTTTTTTTATTTGATAAACTAATTTTTATTTTTTTTAGTTACCTTCTTGAGCAAGTAACCCTTCAGTGATGGGGTCCCTTGGATTACAGTTTAAGAAACGATTTGCATTAATACATAAAATTTTAAAACTTACCAATAATAGAATATTTTGTCTTCAAACCTTTAGTTTAAGCCAGAAGAAGTAACTAATTACTTCGATCAACATATTCGATGTCTAAATCATTTGAAGTTAAAGGCATTTCTTTCACTGAATCCTAAAAAGAGTAACCAATGCTATTGCTCGATTAAGGCCAAGATTTATTTTATAGAATCGCAAGATTTCCAAAACTAATTGGATGTGTAGATGAAACCCACATCAAAATTCAATCACCTGGGGCTCGATTCTCGACTTCATGTGAAAAGATTCACATGTTAAAATATTCCACTACATATTTTCACATGCTTGCTTGAAACTGCATTCTTGATTATAGTGGAAAATATTTTCCAATGGAAACAGACTTGATACGTAAGTCGAATATTAAATAGATATTGGCCAATCAGATTTCATCATTTTCGAATTGTTATGTTGAGACTCCTGCTAACATGTCATGGTCATGTCATATGTCATGCCAATGCCAAACCATAACCTTATTTTATTTGGCAATTTATTTGTCTGGGGTTTAGATTTTATAAAATAATAGCAGAGACAAACCTATAATAGCAAGATAGCAATGTTGGTTGAAGTTGACAGGAAAAAAAGTGGGCATGTGTCAGACACCCAAATGCAAAGGTTGATAAATTTTGTAGAAAACGACCCAGATATACGTACCGGGAAATTTACCAACAAATTCACCTATAAAGGGTCACAACAACGCTGGAAAATTATTACCGAACAATTAAACAGCTCTCCAGGCGCCAAAAATGACTGGTCTTCTTGGAGAAGGGTAAGTAATTTTCTATGGGTACCTTGTAATAATAATTTCAATACTTTTCTAATAATTCTAATGGTTGTAGACTTGGCAAGACCTTAAACGGAATACGAGGAAGAAATCCGCAGATATCAATAAATATAAAATGGGAACAGGAGGCGGACCCCCTCCAAAAGAGTTAACTGACAATGAAGCGGTTATTTTAGAAGTCATTGATGTATCCACTATAAATGAATTAGAATTAATAGAAGAATCAACTATAGTAACTATAAGTCATTTATTTTATTGGGTGATTCTTGGGCTAATTTTGAGTCGAAAAGTCCTTATAACACTTTGAAGACCGCATTCAAATTAACTAAGTCCACTATAAACTTACCTCATCGAGTGTACAAACGGTCCCCAATTAAAACATTCGTGTGCCCACCCGTGAGCACACCGGGCCGGTAATGTTGTTGCGGAGTGACCCACCGGTGGGCATGCGGTCTTCAACGTGGTAAAGTATGTTTTCAGAAGCTTTTCGATATAGAGTGTCACAAAAAAATCGAATTTTTTTTATTAAAAAACGAAGTATAGTACAAAAAAATGTCACGAGACATAAGAGTTTTATTTTTTTTTATTTCATTTAGTAATTCTTTTATAGGATCACAATTACTGGACAGGGAACAACCAAATTTTAAGCCAGGAACCTAGTAAGGCAGGTACTATAGGCCAGATATTAAGTCAGGATCCTAGTAAGGCAGAAGAAGTGTTTCCCAAAGAGAATATTGAAAATTCTGTCCCCAACACTACAATTAGTAGTGAAAAGCCAAAAAGGCGAAGAATGGCCACGAAAAGGCTAACTAAAACATTAAAAGCAAGTGAAAATATGCAAACAATAATTAAAGACGAAAATGCTACAAAAGGATCACATTGAAATAAGAAAATTTGTTTATTAGAACGAGATGTTACTGCCAAAGAAAGGATTGCCGAGGCCTTGTTGAAAAATTTTGTTGATAAAGATGTTTATTTTTTGTTAGTTAAGTTAAAATTAAGGCATAGTAGGAAGCCTATTATTTCTTATATTTTTGTTTTAGCTTATTTTTGTTAAAGAATCTTATATTTTTTATTTTTTTAGAGTATAATAGACTGGTACTTAATGTGATATTGTTGGTCTATTATATCTTTGTTTTAGTCTATTTGTTGAGAAATCTTGCATTTCTTGTTTATTTGGTGTTGTTTTTTAGAATTAGGTATTTCATGTTTTGTTTGTAAAAAGTTACAGTGTGATAATAAATATATGCATTTTCTATACTAGTTGATTTGCCTTTTTTATAAAAAAAATCCTATCCAGTTACTGAAGTTTAAATCATTAAATAATAAACATATTCTTCAATGTAATGTATATATTACACACAAAAAAATTAAAAAATGTTAATAAAAGTATAAATTAAAAATAGTTTCTTATAGTATGTTGTTGTAGTCAACGGCCTTCTACCAAATCTGGGTTTCTGTTAGGGTGTTGGTCCTCCTCCACATCCACTTCATTGTTTGGCATCGCATACATACCAAGGTCGATATTCTCATCTTCTTCTTCATCTGGTTCTGGTATATTGTTGTAAATACATATATTGTGTAATACACAACATGCATTAATAATTTTCCCTGCCATCGTTGGGGTATAATGCAATACTCGGTGTTTGAGTAAACATCTAAATCGCATCTTTAGTAAGCCGTTACACCTCTCAATTAAGCTCCGAGCACTACATAACTGAATGTTGTAACGGGTTTCTGGAGTGCCATCCACAGCATTAAGAACTGGAGTTTGTAGCCATTTCCTTAAAGGATAACCAGAATCTCCTACAAATAAAAATTTTATAATAAAATAATGTTAATAATCATAATCATTATTCATTACCAATTAAATAATAGTTAAAATTATTATTGTTGCGGCTGGCTTCTTCAAGGTATCTCGCAACATTTGAATTTCGCCAAATGAAAGCGTCATGGACGCTACCTGGATATCTCGCATTTACATTTAAAATTCTTAAATTTATGTCACACACCTGGAAAGTATAAAAATTCCATGTAATAAAATCATCAGTACTTATTTCACTTGAAGACAAATATTACAGTTAATCTCATTTACTCTTAGATTCTTATCTTCACTGTTTTAGGTATAAACTTACCAACTGAGTATTTATCGAATGATACGATTTACTATTGACATAAACATGTTCGTTTCCAGAAGGTAGAAAAATTGCAACATGAGTGCAATCAACTGCTCCCACAATCCCAGGTATATGATATGTTTCATAGAATCTAAAAAGTTAAAAGTCAAAGAAACAAGTCACTATAGGTATTCACAGGTTACTTACTTTGTTCTCATCCGATTTAAGTTTTCCGGATTAAATGAGAAATTAACCCACCCATTAAAAATTCGAGGGTCATTAAAAGCATCAACTACATCTTTAATGCAACGGCTTGTAGTTGATTGTCATCTTTATGCACTAAGATCTACATAAACGAAATATAAATGATAATGAAATTACATTGACTGACATATTTAATATAAAGCAAATTGTTATACTTTTTTCTGAAATCGATAGCGTTGTTAGGTTTGTCACTGTCTGTTGTTAACTCTGATGTTCAGTATATTAATATGGAAACTCCATGATAATCTGGAAACTGCACATTTGAAATTTTTCTACTTAATTTTTGAAACGGGGTTTCATTGCTGCTATTATCTCTAATAGATCATTTTCTATGCTATTATCTAATACATCATTTTTAACGAATAAATATAAAGAAATACTAGTAAAGTTAAAACAATGAATTCCATTTAAATGTACTATATTATTAATTCAAATTAATGTTGAAATTGAATCAATTAAGTACCTGTATAAAAGTGTATTAATGGGAAATGTGTAAATTGTATTTTATTTCTAATTTTAAATAATTTTGTGTGTATTGTTAATTTTATTTCTGATGTAAAATTTAAAAAAATTAATACTTAGTTAATAAAAATTTAAATAGATGTTTTATTTATGTGTTAAATATTAATTAGTTACTATGAGAAATAATAGAATATTATGGTCATTACCACAGTTTTGGATAACTTCGGTAACCTTGTCAGCAATATATTCCTCATTGTCGTCTATCTTTGGTATCCATTGAGAAGTAGTCTCATCGTATGTGATAAAAACAGGAGCAGCATTTAATATTTGCGCTGCACGCATTAAATAATTGTTAGATACATCAGAAATAAATATTTAAATGATTTAATCAGCCTCCATCTTGGACCCCGAACTATTTATTTAATGAGATCCCCAATAAAAATGTAGAATTCAAAAATCTTGAAAACTTTTTAAACTGAAATTATTTTTAATAATTTTAAACCTAGCTCAATATAACAAATACATTTAAAGAATAACTAGAACGGCACGTTCGGTTATGAATTTTATTGAATATTTAACACTTAATATTAAAAAGCTACAAGTAAAATCAATTTATCATAGTATATATTTGCTTCATATATATTTAGGATATATAAATACTATAAGTCTACCTATCAGTATCGCCTTGTCTGTGACACGAGAAGGTTTGTTGAATTTGTGCGAAACCAGTTCTGCTTATCATTTTATAGATAGTGTGTATTCAGATTAGTTTTGTATTTTAAAATTATTGATTTAATTATAAGGTAAGGTCTTTAAATTTAATATGGCTGAAAGCGGGGGCGGTGAAACACCGCCCCAGTCCATTTTCCCACCGGATAACCAGGAAGTCAATTACGATTTCAATAACAAGTACCAAGCTGGGGACATAGGCCCATACTTTGTATTCTTAGAGCATAAGGACAAAAATATAGGTAGATTATTTCCAATAAAGGTGGGTTTTTTTCTACAACAAGAATCAGAATTTAAAAAAGACATTTTAGATATAAAATCGGTTGGTTTAAAACGAGTTAAAGTGATATTTAATTCCTATAAAACTGCCAATAGTTTAGTAAATCATGAAGTAGTGATAAAAAACGATTTAATCGCTTTTATTCCGAATTTTTTTAACCATAAAAAGGGTATTATTAGGAATGTTGATACTTTTTTTGGCGATGATCTGTTGTTAAACTCTATAGAATCTTCCATTCCCGTCACTGAAGTAAGACGTTTTAAACGTAAAATTGTAGATCCAGAAACGAAAGAAATAAAATATATTAACAGACAAATAGTTTCTCTAACTTTCTTAGGAAACAGACTACCGGATAAGGTAAAAATTAACCTAACAAGTTTTCTCGTCGAACCTTACATATTTCCAGTAGTACAGTGTTTTAAATGCCTGCGTTACGGTCACACTAATCGTCAATGCAAGGGAAAACCTAGATGCCCGAAATGCAGTCTCGAGCATCCATCTGATTCGGAATGTGAGACATCACAAATGTATTGCGTTCATTGCGGCAGTGAAGACCACCCTTCAATTTCTAAAAAATGTCCTATTTACAGTAAGCAACATAACATAAAAAAAATTATGTCACAAGAAAATGTTTCTTTTAAAGAAGCGGAAATGTTGCACAATAACCCCTCATATTCGAAAGTGGTTACAAATAACCGTTTTTCCATTCTGAACAATGAGATAAATTTTCCCACCCTTCCTACTCCCAGAAATGTAAATATTGTTACTTTGACAAAACCAAAATCAGTTAGAACGCCTCAGTCTTCTTCGCAAAAACCAACTCAATCAAAAAAGCGTAAGTGTGCCTCCCCACCCACTCAAATTTTAGATAAACCTCCAGTCTTTCCAAAAGAGCATTCAGAACCGCGTCGTTCCTCGATATTACCAAATCCCTACAGAGAAGATTTTTTGGCTCATAAGGAAAAAATCATCAATGATTTTTTTAATTTGGTTAAACAGGTTGCTAATAATCCTCAGTCTTTAGATGATAGAAAAATTTTAGACCAATTAAATAATTGTTTTGATCCTATATTTAACAAAATTCCCGTGGATGACGAAAGTATGGATGATGAGTACGATTAAAGAGAAGCTTAACATCTTACAATGGAATAGTCGCTCAATTGTAAACAAAAAAGGTAGTTTGTTAAATTTTCTCAATACAAACTCATATGATATAGTAGTTATTTCAGAGTTGTGGCTTAAACCACAAAATAAATTTTACTTAAAAGGTTTTAATTCAATTCTTAAACCTAGAGCAGACGGATACGGGGGAGTAGGCATATTCGTTGCAAAAGGTATAGCATTCCGTGAAATTGTTTTAACACAGAATTTTAATAATAAATTGGAAGTATGTGCAATTGTCATTGATTCATTAAACATTTCTCTGGTATCAATATATAGGCCTCCAGATGTTAAAATTAATAGAAACGATTATATAAATCTCTTCGAACAGTTCCCCACTTCTTGTCTTTTTTGTGGTGACTATAATGCTCATCACGGCTCTTGGAGCCAGATTCCAGAAGACTCTAATGGAAAAACTTTAATAGAGGCTTTAGATAATTTGGACCTAATTACCCTTAACGATGGTTCTCCTACCAGAATTTCTCCCAATGGCTGTAATTCTGCAGTTGACCTTACAATAACATCTCCTCATATGGCCGACTTAGTCAACTGGCAAGTACTAACCGATTCTATGGGATCAGATCATTTTCCAATTAAGTTAGAATTGCAAGTTAATCTCTCATCTTTCCATATCTCTCCCTCAACTAAATGGAACGACTTGCGCGCAGACTGGAATTTATTTGAAACCAAAATAGAGGAAATTTTTGCAAATAATAACAATAATTATTCTAATACAGACGACCAAATTGATTTTCTATTTAACTCTATTTCGTCAGCTGCCTCTATGTCTATGCCAATTAAAAAACACTTTGTTCCGTCAACTCCTAAAGCATGTTGGTGGGATCAGGAATGCACTGATTGGGTGAATAAACGGAAAACGGCTTTACTAACCTATAAAAATTTATCCAATTTTCAGAATTATTTATC